AAAACAACAATTTCACCACAATTCCTCTTATCCAAACCTTAGCATGCATACTATCAAAATTCCCAAGTTATGTTGATGATTAGTTCTCCAAAATTATGATTAACTCTTTTCACAGAAATTAACCACTTCTTCTTACACGCAATTTATCCTTTGCGTGAGGCATAAATATAAACATATAAAAAGACCTTAGGTTCAATGAGAACTTCACACAATCACACAAACCCCTATGAGTATGATGTTTACCTTAGGCGCATTCATGAATTTAATCACAAAAAACTCATATTAGGCATGGCGTATACCCTAACATGCATCAAATTACTTAACCAAAAATCTAGATGGTAGCTAAGCATCAAGATCATTAGTTAAGAAAATAAGCACAGCGATTAAATTTCAACAACATGAAAATTCTAATAGCATGACATAGCTAAGCTTCGAATAATTAGAAAGGGGTACCTTGTGTCTTAGTAAAAGAAAATTAGTTACTCATAATCATGGTAACAAAGCAAAAATAAATCATGGAGAAAGAGATAAGAAAAACCCTTAGAGTTTAGAGGCACGGTCGCTCTTCCTTGCTCCACAGTTGAATTCCGAAATTTCTGGTATATCCTTCGAGCCCCCCGACCTCTCCTCTAAAAAGAACCTAAAACCTAGTTAGAATGGGCCTAAACAAGTGGCCTTACACAAAGACTTGATTTCCAAGTCAGTTCCTAACTAGAAAAGGTAATTACAACTATACAAATTTATAAATAAACTCAATCCTAGACATGTATTTATAAAAAAATCTAAACACTATTTAAACATAGAAACACACCCAAAATCCACCCCAAAATCAACAATTGTATATTTTTTGGGTGTGTTTATAAATGGGTTTTGAGTGTGTGTAATGATGGGTTTTGGGTGTGTTTATAAATGGGTTTTGAGTGTGTGTAATGATGGGTTTTGGGTGTGTTTATAAAGTGTTTGGGTGTTGGGTTTTTTTATAATTTCAGCCCCCATTTTGGGTGTTTTAGTGAAACTCCCTTAAAACTAAGTTTCCTAAAACCTCCAGGAAATTGCACGTGATCCTCTTTGCGAATGTTATTTGAATACCTTCCTAACCTCAGAAAATTGCGTACAACTACTCTTTGGAAAGCTCTGGATGTCTTCTTTTAAGCCATATGTCGTGTGCCTTAATCCGATGTCGTATGAGTGAGTTATGGCCAAAATACCCCTGCTGACTCAGTATTCTCCGGAAATTGGTTTAGGCTGAGTTGTCTAATTAAAAATGGCATCTTAGCAGTCTTCAAAAGTTATGAAAATATTCATGGACAAACTTCAAGATTCTATCTTCCATGTCTAATTGGAATCATGTCAAACTCTATTACGAGGAATATTTGGCGAATTTATACATTTCTTGGCTCATAAGCTGAAAAACCAGAAAATAACTAAAATCAACATCTTTAGTCCAAATTAATTCACAAAACTAAGTAAAAAGGATATAAAATTATGTGAAATTATGAACATATCAAGGTGTATGCAATATCAATAAGTATATCTTTCAAGCCTAATTCAAAGGTGAGGCTCAAAGGCTCACTTTACATTTGGTAAGTGTAGGAAGACCGACACTTATAAAGAGTATAAACTTTCTCTACTTTTCCAAGAGACTCGAGTTAATGAGTTTCATTCAAACTCACTTTTCTCAAACAATTTTGAATTATTTTGTATGCAGGTTTTGAGATTGAGGTTGAAATATTTCAATCTTGATGGGTTTTGGCTGTGAATGTGTGAGTGTTGTTGGTGTAGGGGCTTTTTCGTTCTAGCAGCTGCAAATGGGCCTGAGTTGCTGTAAAGAGAAAATGGATGAAGTTGCCCTTGTACTTGAGTTCATGAATCAGGCCCAAAGAGTGCTTCGAAAAGTTCGTGGAGCCTTAAGAAGCATTTTGGTTCCTTTCACCAACAAGACAGACAACTGTTACAGATCAATATACATGACAGACAACTGTTACAAATCAATATTACGGCTTGGCCTGAGAAGGTTGTAGCATGGAAGCTAAGCCTCCATGAATTTAGCAATAGAGAGAGAGAGCTTGAATTTCTTATGGGAAACAAAGGTTCAGAGCAAGGGGAGAGGAAAATTTGGGAAGATTTGATGAGGAAAGAGAGGGAGAGATAGGGATAAAAGGATGGGTGACTTGAGTAGATTTTCCAGCAACTTGATGATTGCTTGGTCGTGCTCTGGATGGTTCATGGGAGAAAGAGGAAGAAGATGGAAGAAAACGGCTTGAAATTGAAGCTTCCAGCAGTGAGTAAGGATGTTTGCTCGCTCTGGATGAGTTGAGATGATGGGTAGGAGATGCCCCCTTTTATAGGCGCTGGAAGCCCCTTCTGGTTCAGGAACCCTAGCTGACTTTCCCCAAATTCTGCCAAGTCCTCTCCTTCATTTCCCTTCACTTCCTTTGATTCAATCCATTTTGGTGAAAATTCCTTAATCCAAGCACATTGGGACAAAGCATTTTGGGGTTCCAAGGTTTTCCTGCAGTTGACTTCTTCCATCTTGGGTGAGGCGCCTCTTGCTTTTCCTACTGGTTTTCCTACCAAAGCTTGCAAAGGAAAGAATGGGTAAGGGTGCTGGTCTAAGGTGTCTTACTTCTAGCAGCCCGTGCACATGGGTTTCAATTAGTTTTAACGATGGCTTGGTTTTGATTTGGTTTTAATAGGGTGCTGGGATATTTTCTAAGGTGCTGGGTCATTTCTCTAAGGTGCTTGGCCATTTCTTTAAGGTGTTGGGCTATTTTTTTTCCCTCTATTATGCTTACCCATATATTTGGTCTTAAGAAAGGGCTTGAGTTTGGTGCTCCCAAGTAGCCCAAAACTTCCACTTCTTGGACCATCAATGGGCCTCATGAATACTCGTAACTATCCATACCATAACCCACTCAACAAGCCCCAGACATTTGCTTGGCTTGGGCCCACTTAACCTTGTAGCGTGGCTCGGTACTAAAATAAAGGTTTTCTTCGCTTTACGTTGCGTGTCATGTGGCGTGTTTGTGCTTGGTATTGTAACGGGCTATGGTCGGGCCAAGTGGTGCTTGACGGGACAATGAGCACGGGTTCATGAAACCAGTACATTTTACAGACTCGTTGCGACCTCTCTACGTGGCAGGTTGCGTATTGGCTTGGCGTGGCATGCAAACCATAACTTGTGTAAGCGCATAAGACAAATTCCTGTGCACCCCGATCAGGCTCCTTTCTCGATTGAGTGTTGTACTGGGCTAGAAATATATTTGAGCTCAGCCTTGAATTTTTTGGGCCTCAACAGTTGGCTATTTAACATTTTATTATTCAATTAGATTTTCATTTAATTTGAATTGATTGCTTGACCTTTTTGTTAAATAGTTTATTCTTCACATAACCTTTTTGTTAAATCATGTTTTGCCAAAAAGTCTTTGTTGGTCTATGTTGTTTATCATTTTTATCACTAAAGTCCCTGTGATTTCAATTTGATCATTTTTGTTCCCGTGGTTTCAATTTCAAGTAATTCAAGGACAACTCTCAATTTCTGTCAATTTTTTTTAACTTCAATTATTTATGGAGAGACAATTCGATCAAATTATTAAAAAATACAATTCTTTTTTAAAATAACAAATACAAAATGAACAAAATTAATAATAAATAACAAAATTCTTTCCTTGTTAACTCCCGTGCCCTCCCCTCCTACCATAACCACCATCAAGCCACTGCCCAACAACCAACCCTTACCACCGTCCCACCGCAAAACTTCTCTCTCTCTCTCTCTCCCTCTCTCTCTCTCAAGTCCAGCCCAAAAAATTCAGTGCAAGCAAAGGATTGCTCATAATTTATTACAATATGGCCAATAGATCTGCAAAAAAAATAAATAAATAAAAAATGGCTCCAACCCAGCCCCACCCACCAAGAACTACTCCTATTTCAATTTTATTTTCACTTATTATGGCTTTTTGGTGCTGTTTTTGAGAAACAGAACTTGAAGTTGGGAAGGGAAAAATCTATAGCTATTTCCAAGTTATTAAAAATCAATTGATGAACAAAGCTGTATATTGGAGAAAAAATTTTATTTATTAATTTTTTATTTTGTATTGTTTATTTTTAAAACAATTAATTTTTTAATAATTTGTTGACTAAATTACCCCTCCACAAGTAACAAAAGTTAAAAAATATTAACATAAATTGAGGATTGTCCTTGAATTGCTTCAATTCAGATTAAAACCACAAGGACGAAAAAGTTCAAATTGAAACCACAGAGACCTTAGTTGTAAAAGTGATAAACTACAAGGACCAAAAGTGACTTTTTGCCTTCATTTTTTCACTATTTAAGTAGGTTAATATAATATATAATTCATTTGTGCAAGAGCGTTTTTGAGTTTTTTTTAATATAAGTGATAGTCTAAACTATTCTAAATTTATTTAATTTAATCAGGAGAGGTTCGAATTTGGGTGCAAAAAGGCAAGCTCATCTGGCCAACTAGCCTAATTCACGCCTACAATTAGTTTAGATTTGGATAAACAACATCTACATGTGTAACACGTTATGGTGTAAATTGATTAAATTAAAACAGCCCATATTAATAATAACTCCAAATCTACATGGGGTAAAATGTCATTTATCCAAAAATAAATGAGAATTAATATACATACAATAACAAAGAGAATCAACTTCGTTCATGTGCTAAGTTATATGATTTACTTCTTCCCATACTATTTATCTCTCGTTTCTTCTCCAATTTCTTACTTAACCATTCATAATAAGTAGGGTTTTGATGAGGCCACGTCGCTCGAGTCTGTAACCTTTGACAGTTGAATGAAACCTTACTATTTCAAAAAAAAAAAACCATTCATAATAAGTAAACATCTCATTAATGAATCCTATGGCTTTAGAATCCGGTGTACCATACGAGTACACAGTAAGCTACAGATTTTTCCTGGACTGGAAAATGACATATTGTCGATTTTAAAGGAGATTATTTTAAGAGCTCCACAACAAGAAGGAGAAGACTGACCTAAAATAAACTTAAAAAAGATAAAATAAAATAAAATAAAAAAGAAGGAGCGAGAGTTATCTTTGTTGCAGCTGAGTACTGAAGCAAGAGCTTGGCGCCAGGACTTGAAAAAAAAGAGATTTTGATGGCAATTTCCACCTCCTTTGTGCCTGTTGTTTCTTTCAATTCTGTCTCGTCCTCCCCCTCCTCTTCTTTGCCATGTCCTTCTCTGAGTTCTTCGAGTGCCCGTTACCGTGGTTTGATGGTGAGTAATCAGCGCTTGCGTGGGCGATTGGTTGTTAACTGCTCATCTTCTGAAATGGGTTCCAGTTCTGACTCTGGGAATGGAAGGTATGGGACTACAAGTGCCTTTTGTTCTTTCATTTATGTAGTGGGTAGTGACGAAGTTCCGGTTTTATTGTCTAGTTTGGAAAGAATTAAGGTATTAGGTGTTTGTAGTAATGTCTAAGTGGAAGTTTTGGAATTGGATTGGGGTTGTAATTTAAGGTATATGTTGCATTCTTGGTTGTTGAATTTTGAGATAATTGCAACGAATTTATTTTCTTCTTCTTGTGTTAGTCTTGTGCTGTTAATTTAGATACCATTTCTCTGGTTTCTACTTTGTTAACTTCAGGTCGTTTAACAGACATACTCAAATGCCATCTATGGCTCCCTATGGGGTAACAATGAATGGAAATGGCCAGTCTGGGCCATCTTATAAATGGCAAAGGGTCTTACTTAAAGTAAGCGGGGAAGCACTTGCTGGAGATCACACGCAGAATATTGACCCAAAGGTCTGATAAATTCTTAAACCATACTGTGATAATTATCCTTCTTTTGTTGCTTTCTGATATAGGAGTATTTTTCCCGTACAATATTAGGTAACAATGGAAATTGCAAGAGAGGTTGCATCGGTGACTCGCCTTGGCATTGAGGTATGTTCAATGCTTTACATTAGAGAATTGTAATTTGCATGACATATTCTTTTTATATACTTGAAGGCAGGGGCGCACACACACCCACAGAAGTTTTATTAATATTTTCCTTGCAATATTATTGTAGTGTGATGTTGATGATTACAACATCTGTTTTATAAAGTTCAACTTAGTGAAATTTGGGGATTCCAGAAGTATCTATGCACAGATTAACATGCAGTCTGGGAAATGATTCAGGATAAAAAGAATTGCATTGTAGGCTTCTTTTATTGAAATATCCAGCATAATGTAGGCATTGCATAAAGTGGAATAATTTCAATGGTTTAATATTTCTATAAATAGCTAATCGGATTGTACTAATGAGATTTAGTGAGCTTATGAAATCCAAAAACGTAGTTTATTGGCATCTGGGTATGTGTTAGTCATCTTAGTCAAATATTTCAGGTTGCCATTGTGGTTGGTGGGGGAAATATCTTCCGTGGATCTTCATGGGCGGGAAGCAGCGGTCTTGACCGGTCATCTGCTGATTACATCGGGTAATTCCTTTTATTGGCATTGACTGAATTTTTTTTTATCTCACCTGTCAAGACTTCTGGTATTTAGCAGTTGTGTTTTCACATGTTTATAATTTGCAGTGTGATCGGGTGATTAGTTTATCTGGATCTGGTTCATGTCGTGTATCGTGGACTTAGGATAATTTGTTATTTACGTAGTTTATCTATTATTGAGGTTTTGGACTTGGTGCTTTTTCATCCATATGCAAAACAAAAGTAACTTATGGCTCTCTCTCTCTCTCTCACACACACACTCAAAATGTGTCTATATTGTAATGAGCACTACTTAGTTGACCACATACTCGCTTCACTACTATATTAACTTGAATTTTACAATATTTACCAATTCCAACTTTAAAATGTCGGATGAAAGGAAATGAGTTGTGGTTCATATGTGAAAGTTGAGCAGTACTTGCCTTACATGACATGAAAATTGAGGTTTTTTAGGGACTATTGTACTTTTTAAGCTTAGAAACTTTCTTTTAAAGTATGCATATTTCTGGTCTTTTATTTTCTATTTACTGTTTATATTCAATTTTATAGGATGTTGGCAACTGTCATGAATTCAATATTTCTTCAAGCAACAATGGAAAGTATCGGCATCCCTACTCGAGTGCAGACTGCATTTCGTATGTCTGAGGTTGCAGAGCCTTATATACGTCGAAGGGCTGTGAGGCATTTGGAGAAAGGGAGGGTAGTGATCTTTGCAGCAGGAACTGGAAATCCATTCTTTACCACAGATACTGCTGCAGCACTTCGTGGTGCAGAAAGTAAGTTGAATCTTTTGTGTTTGAATGCTACCTTGGCTTAATGAGAATTCATGGTACCTATCATAGTGTGAGGCAAACCACTGCGGTTAAAAGTAATTTATTTAGGATGTTTCAAAATTTGCCCCAAGTTACTAATTAATATACCCAAGTTTGTTCTAACACTGTCTTGACTGTGGCACCATATATAGTCCTGATTACTGAATTTCAACTCTTCTTTGGTGGAAAATTTCTGTCTAAGAAACTGGGGGGGAGCTCTCAAACACTTCTCTAGAGCTCCCTTCCCTTCTCTCCCTCAAATTCTCTTAATTTTGCTTTCTAGTTCTCAATTATAGCTTTCCTTTTGCTTCTTAGTTGTAATTTATTTTTCTTTATAATGTAAATTATTTTCTTAAGTTTTCAAGTTTAATTAGTTTCCAAGTTTCAATTATGGTTTTTGTTCTTATTCATTATGCTTTTAAGTTAATATGCTAGTTTGAATGATTGATCACCATTTAGGCTTGCATGTTAGCTATCTTGGTACACTATGCTTTAATTCGAATTGAACTATGAATAGGAAGAGTATGTATGGACATTCGACAACAGGGATTAGATACATGCTTGGTTGTTTAAATTGTTCTTCTATGCTTAATGGGTTCCTAATGCTTAATTTTAGGTTAGACAACAAATGATCAAATTAGGGAATTAGGAACACAAGGTTATGACCACACACCATGGCTTAATCATACTTTAGCTAGAATCAATCCATTAATCTAATTGAACTTGGGAACTTATTTGCTTGACTTATTTCCTTTTTCTTGTTTTATCTATTTCTTTTTTTTTATTTCTGTTTTGTGTAGGAGAAATGAATGGGATCATTCAATCACCAATCCTCGTGGGATCGACCTCGCACTTACATATGCTATACTACCAAACGGCTCGTGCACTTGCGAGTATCACAAGTTGAGGATGCAACTGAATCCATTTTGGTGCAGCTGTATCTACGCAACAGGTGTACTATGGGTATTTTGGTAGTTAAAGAGGGTGTACTTAGTTAATTTTACATTTTGATTTAAATAATAAGGTGTACTTAGATTGTAGGGTGTACTCAGTTAATTTTAGGGTTCGTTTAGTAGCACTCTAAATTAAAACAGCTCATATTAATAATAACTCCAAATCTAAATGGGGTAAAATGTCATTTATCCAAAAATAAATGAGAATTAATATACATACAATATCTAAGAGAATCAACTTCATTCATGTACTATGTTATGTGATTTACTTCTTCCCATACTATTTATCTGTCGCTTCTTCTCCAATTTCTTACTTAACCATTCATAATAAGTAAACATCTCATTAATGAATCCTATCGTTTTAGAATCCCGTGTACCATACGAGTACACAGTCAGCTGCAGATTTTTCCTGGACTGGAAAATGACATATTGTCGATTAAAAAGGAGATTATTTTAAGAGCTCCACAACAAGAAGGAGAAGCTTGACCTAAAATAAACTTAAAAAAGATAAAATAAAATAAAAAAGAAGGAGAGACAGTTATCTTTGTTGCAGCTGAGTACTGAAGCAAGAGCTTGGCGCCAGGACTTGAAAAAAAAAAAGATTTTGATGGCAATTTCCACCTCCTTTGTGCCTGTTGTTTCTTTCAATTCTGTCTCGTCCTCCCCCTCCTCTTCTTTGCCATGTCCTTCTCTGAGTTCTTCGAGTGCCCGTTACCGTGGTTTGATGGTGAGTAATCAGCGCTTGCGTGGGCGATTGGTTGTTAACTGCTCATCTTCTGAAATGGGTTCCAGTTCTGACTCTGCGAATGGAAGGTATGGGACTACAAGTGCCTTTTGTTCTTTCATTTATGTAGTGGGTAGTGACGAAGTTCCGGTTTTATTGTCTAGTTTGGAAAGAATTAAGGTATTAGGTGTTTGTAGAAATGTCTAAGTGGAAGTTTTGGAATTGGATTGGGGTTGTAATTTAAGGGGTATGTTGCATTCTTGGTTGTTGAATTTTGAGATAATTGCAACGAATTTCTTTTCTTCTTCTTGTGTTAGTCTTGTGCTGTTAATTTAGATACCATTTCTCTGGTTTCTACTTTGTTAATTTCAGGTCGTTTAACAGACATACTCAAATGCCATCTATGGCTCCCTATGGGGTAACAATGAATGGAAATGGCCAGTCTGGGCCATCTTATAAATGGCAAAGGGTCTTACTTAAAGTAAGCGGGGAAGCACTTGCTGGAGATCACACGCAGAATATTGACCCAAAGGTCTGATAAATTCTTAAACCATACTGTGATAATTATCCTTCTTTTGTTGCTTTCTGATATAGGAGTGTTTTTCCCCGTACAATATTAGGTAACAATGGAAATTGCAAGAGAGGTTGCATCGGTGACTCGCCTTGGCATTGAGGTATGTTCAATGCTTTAGATTAGAGAATTGTAATTTGCATGACATATTATTTTTATATACTTGAAGGCAGGGGCGCACACACACCCACAGAAGTTTTATTAATATTTTCCTTGCAATATTATTGTAGTGTGATGTTGATGATTACAACATCTGTTTTATAAAGTTCAACTTAGTGAAATTTGGGGATTCCAGAAGTATCTATTCTCTCTCTCTCTCTCTCTCTCTCTCTCTCTCTCTCTCTCTCTCTCTCTCTCTCCCTCCCTCCTGATTGTACCAGATACTTTTGTTTTGTAACACTAAAGATATAGAAACAGGAACTTTGTTCCTAGTCATTTAGCAATGCTTGTAGGTCCTGTACAAAATGTGGGCTATATTGTAATTAGCACCACTTAGTAGACCACAATACTCCCTTCACTCACTAGTTTAACTTAAATTTCCCAATATTTACCATTTCCAACTTTAAAATGTCGAAATAAAGGAAATGGGTAGTGGTTCGTGTGCGAAAGTTGAGCAATATTTGCCTTATATGACATGAAAATTGGGGTTTGGAGGGATTATTTTTTTTTTTTTTAAGCTTAGAAACTTTCTTTGAAGTATGCATATTTCTCCTCTTTTATTTTCTATTTACTGTTTACATTCAATTTTATAGGATGTTGGCAACTGTCATGAATTCAATATTTCTTCAAGCAACAATGGAAAGTATCGGCATCCCTACTCGAGTGCAGACTGCATTTCGTATGTCTGAGGTTGCAGAGCCTTATATACGTCGAAGGGCTGTGAGGCATTTGGAGAAAGGGAGGGTAGTGATCTTTGCAGCAGGAACTGGAAATCCATTCTTTACCACAGATACTGCTGCAGCACTTCGTGGTGCAGAAAGTAAGTTGAATCTTTTGTGTTTGAATGCTACCTTGGCTTAATGAGAATTCATGGTACCTATCATAGTGTGAGGCAAACCACTGCGGTTAAAAGTAATTTATTTAGGATGTTTCAAAATTTGCCCCAAGTTACTAATTAATATACCCAAGTTTGTTCTAACACTGTCTTGACTGTGGCACCATATATAGTCCTGATTACTGAATTTCAACTCTTCTTTGGTGGAAAATTTCTGTCTAAGAAACTAATTTCTTTGCTTCAATTTTAGTATCTTTCAATCAATTATTGATCCAGTCAATGGACAGGTTGTGCTCAAAACTGCAAATGTGGGTGGGTTTTAGGAACTATTTTCTTTGTTTCAAACTGTTTTTCATTTTCTTTTTTATCTAGTCAATGCAGAGGTTGTGCTGAAAGCTACAAATGTTGATGGGGTTTATGACGATAATCCAAGGTGTAACCCAAATGCCCGACTTCTTGATAATCTAACATATCAGGAGGTGATGTCGAAAGATCTTTCGGTGATGGACATGACTGCCATTACTTTATGCCAGGAAAACAACATTCCTGGTATGTTCTTTTTTTGGTTGGTATCCAAAACATATATGTGTGTGTGTGTGTATATATATATATTTCTTTTGTTCTTTTCAATTATTTTTTCCCATTTTATCCGTTTTACCTAATGCCATTTGGATTGATCTTGGTATTTGTAATATCCAACCTTCTTACCATGTGGAACAGGCTCTTATTGATTCTTTCGTATGGTGCAGTTGTTGTGTTCAATCTAAACAAACCGGGTAACATCTCAAAAGCCATAAAGGGAGAGAAGGTTGGCACATTGATTGGAGCAACACGGAATTCTACTGTGACGACGACATGAGGCATGGTTTTCATTTTTCCTGGTTGAGGTTATATTGAGGATGGTTTACGGCATCTTTTCTTTGTTTTTTTTCTTTTTTTCTTTTTTTGTCAATGGTATTCAGCGTCTTTAGTGTAAATAAATTTTGAATTTTGTGTTTTAACAATTTGGAAGTTTCGTAGCATTGTTAGTTGATCCAAGTAATTCAGTCTCTAGTCATTGCACAAATTCAAGCTGAGAAAAAGGGTAAGAGCACCATGTGGCACTCATGAAACGAACCCAATAATTAATATGTTGTGTTGTAGTATAAGCAACTTTGCCGAGTTTGGCATTCAATGGAGGTAGCAAATGTTTTCTTTAAAAGTTTCCTTTGCTAACCTATGTGGCACTTTGATACTAAAACTTGCTCTACTTCTAAACTTTGTCACTCGCATATTAATCAGGAGACGAAGGCTTGGAATTTAGACTGTATTATTCACCTCATTGATCCTTGTATTATCCCCCCGTTACATGTAAGTTTTTCTTCTGGAATTGGGACTATGAAGATCAGCTTGTATGGCCATGGAGCAAGAATGGGCAATTTACAGTAAAGAGTGGCTACCACTGGTCAATGAAGAATGGTCGGTGCTTGTCTCTGATCCCTCAGAATGCTATGGATACAAATATTTGGAGGGTGGTTTGTAGCCCCTTTGACAAGCTTAAGGTTGAGAATGCTCTGCGTCTTCCAGACAAGTGGAGACAATGGAAGTGGTTATTGAGCCCTAGATATAAAACTCGAGAGTGTCTTATTATATTGAGTTTTTATAAAAAATAGTCAAAATTTACCATATACTTTCATAAATGTCAGTTTTTATAAAAACTTTCAAAAATAGAAAAAAAAACTCACCTAAATAGACTCAAATGCCCTCAAAACTAAAACCCGTGTAAACATAAAAAGCAAAACCTGCAATCTCTGTCTTCATCTGACTGACATAAAACATAAAAACTCCGCTGCATCAATGTTATATCATTGGAGGGACAAGCTTTTGTGGTTGATAATGATTAAGCCAAAAATCGTCCTTGACCCCATAAACAAGCTTCTGTAAATTATTTACGGGACTTTGAGAACCAGACATCTCAATTGGCCTCCCTTGTTTCCGATCATGTATATGCGGCCAACTTGAACCATGAGTACTATTCCCATTTGAGTACACATCCCACCGAAAACTCTTACAACAAGTTTCTTTCCGTAATGTGGCTGACTTGAGTTCCCTATAACAATAATTTTTTGTGTTTATTTACAATGATGATCGCCATATTCTTCCCTCCAATGATATATAACATTGATCAATACATAGGGGAGTTTTTATGTTTGAAGTCAAATGAAAACAGAGATTGGAAGTTTTGTTTGTTAGGTTTATGTGGTTTTTAGTTTTGAGAATATTTGAGTCTATTTAGGCGAATTTTTTGCTATTTTTGAAAGTTTTTATAAAAATTGACATTTATAAAAATAATGGGTAAATTTTGGCTCTTCAATAGGTGGTTTTGCAGTCTTCAGTCCCAACGACATCACAACATACTCATATGCCCCCACTGCCCCAAACATCTACATGTGGTTTGCTTATATATATCTTCATCTGCTAACATGATCTGATTGTGTTGAATCAAGCGTTGCCATCTAGGAAAGATAAGAGATATATACAAAGAATAGAGAGCAATCATTATATCAACAAGACTTTATACATGAGGCAAGTTCCTATTTGAATGCCCGAAGCAGTTAACAAGTTTAACGGTGGAGGGGTATTCACACTTTTAAGAGATTAGAGGGCTTAAAACCAAATTGAAAGTCTAATTGGAAATCGAAAGTACGTAGTTCATAAATACATGAGGCATTCCTAAATTTTTCTCAAATAATAAAAGAGAGTGTTGCTATTTCCACCCGTTTTATTTTCTCACCCATCTTATCTTCTCACCCACCATGTAAATTTGAAAAAAATACAATCTTATCTTTCCATCCACTATTGTTCCTAAAATATCCTTTCATTAGACAGTTGTTATTTCCAACCCCAGTCCTATTTTCTCACATACCTTATCTTCCCACCTATCATGTAAATTTGAAAAAACACAATCTCATCTTTGCACCCACCATTATTCCTAAATACCCATTTTTCTTGACCCACATGTTTCCTTCTTATTTTGTTGACATGTGTCCTCTCACTTAACATTCAACACAACATTGTTAACTTTGAATTAAAAAAAAAAACTCGAAATTGAAATAAAAGAAAACAACGCAGCAGTCACCCAAGCACCCACCCACAACCGCCAAACCTCAATAGCCACCAACACCAACAACCCCATACCAGTGGTGGAAATTCCCTATTTTAGTGTTATAGATGCAATATGAAGAACATTGAGGTTCCACCCTAAAACTAATTGGCAATGGGGGGAGTATCTCAACTCCTTATAAGCCCTTTTAGGTTTCTTAACTTTCCATTGTGGGACTTTTTACCTTCACATTCTCACACAATCAGCAAGAGCATTGTTGTTTTGGGATTGCATTGATTTGGTAATATCCAATCCATGAGGAATATCCGAGCTTAGGACGATGAGATGGGACATGCAAAGAAATTCATAGGGGGTGGCTATTGAGAGGAGGGAGGAGAGAAATAAGGAGAAAAAATGAGGATGGAAGGGTCGATGGTTGCGTGGGAAGATGAGACAGATGGTAGGGTAGGTCGTGGCTATTAGAGAGAGAGAGAGA